GGAATAATGTGCCGTTAGGGCCCAAGTGGAGAGGTCCTTATGTTGTTCTTCTGTCTACCCCTACAGCGATAAAAGTAGCCGAAGTGGCTCCGTGGATACATCACTCCAGGGTTAAACCAGCAGCAGCCGATTCCTGGCAAGTTACAGCAAATCCAGAGAATCCCTGCAAGATCCGGTTAAAACGCACGACTCAGTCGGAGTGACGAGGAACCTTGTAGATTACAAATTTTATTGTTTCAGAGACTTGGTAAGTGAGTGAGAAGGCCATAATAAAGCCTGTCCACTCACCAACGAGTGTATAAGTCAGGGAAAGTCTTGAGGGGACCCCTGTGAAGACGAGCAGAACTCCATTCCCTGCAGCCCTTACATCCTGGAAGCTGAGGTGCCTTCGCACGGACGAAGACTGAGGATGACGACGAAAGATGTATTTTTAATAATGTTTATTTATGTGTATTTTTATATTCAGGAAGGTAGAGGTACCGACACTCCTAGCTGTGAGGTATGCATTAAGACTACGAGAACAGGTAACCATATATCCCAGACCCTAATTTGGCATTCGCAATATGAGTGTAAAGGAGATGTATCAAGATGTAGATACTTAAATATAGAATATAGTGTGTGTCATTTAGGAGTAGGAGAACCTAAGTGCTTCAGTCCTGAGTATCAACCCCGTACAATTTGGTTGACTCTCAGAAATGGAGATCCTCAGGGAACCCTAATTAATAAGACGGTATTAAAATCCATATATTCTTCAGGTGCTCTGCTATTTGATGCGTGTAAAGCAATATCAAGTGGTAGAAAGCCGTGGAATGTATGTGGGGATCTTAGATGGGAGAGGACGTATGGGTCTAACGATAAATATATTTGTCCCAGTAGTAAAAATAAATATGTAAGTCCAAGATGCCCAAATAGAGATTATAACTTCTGCCCATATTGGTCTTGTGTGGGGTGGGCGACTTGGGGACAGACAGCAGACAAGGACATGATTGTGACTAAGTTGCCTACTGATCCATATTGTAAGTCTATGGAATGCAATCCAATCCATATACTTATAAATAACCCTGACAAGTTCTTAGATAAATATGGTAATTTATTTGGGTTTCAAATATATGGGACGGGTTTAGACCCTGGGACAATATTGTTTATAGGGATAGAGACTGATACGGTAACCTCCCAAACTCATCAAGTATACCATTCCTTTTATGAAGAGATGAGCATAGATAATAAGATCCCCCATAATGCTAAAAACTTGTTCATTGATTTAGCCGAGAGTATTGCCGGTAGTCTTAATGTTACCAACTGCTATGTGTGTGGAGGTACTAACATGGGAGACCAATGGCCTTGGGAAGCAAAGGAGGTAATGTCCGGTTCTGAGGCAGTTGACCAATTAATATCTACACAAGCCGACTATCATATGAGTGTTAGAGGTAAATCTGAGTGGAGATTGAAGACCTCCATCATAGGTTATGTTTGCATAGCGAGGAAAGGAATGATGTATAATACTTCTGTAGGAGAATTAACTTGTCTAGGGCAAAAAGCTTATGATGATGATACAAAGAATACAACTTGGTGGTCGGCTTCAAATGTCTCAGAACCATCTAACCCGTTTGCAAGATATGCCAATTTAAAGGACGTATGGTTTGATCTATCCATCACATCTAACTGGAGAGCCCCAGCGAATTTGTACTGGATCTGTGGTAAGAAGGCCTATTCGGAGTTACCACAGGACTGGGAAGGGGCATGTGTGTTGGGTATGTTGAAACCATCCTTCTTCTTGTTGCCTATTGAAACAGGTGAGACTTTAGGTGTTAAAGTGTATGATGTGAATCATAGGAAGAAAAGGGGACCCATAGAGATAGGTGCCTGGGAAGATAATGAATGGCCTCCCCAGCGTATTATAGATTATTATGGGCCAGCCACGTGGGCAGAGGATGGTACCTTTGGTTATAGAACCCCTATTTATATGCTCAACCGCATTATAAGGTTACAGGCGGTGGTTGAGATCATTACTAACGAGACATCACAAGCGCTCAATCTTCTAGCGAAGCATAATACCAGGATGAGGACAGCAGTTTACCAAAATAGATTAGCCTTGGATTATCTTTTGGCAGTAGAGGGAGGTGTATGTGGGAAGTTTAACCTGAGCAATTGCTGTCTTCAAATAGATGATGAAGGGCAAGCAATAGCTGAGCTTACTAGCCATATGGTTAAACTAGCGCATGTGCCTACTCAGGTATGGAAAGGGTACAATCCAAGTAGTTGGTTTGGTAGCTGGTATGAGTGGTTTGGAGGGCTTAAGGCAGTGGTAGGTGGAGTCCTACTGATTTTAATGTTGTGTCTACTCCTGCCGTGTCTTATACCCTTAGTAGTTAGGTCTGTGCAAAGCCTGATAGAAAATATAGCAGAGAGGAAGGCTGCTGCACAGATAATGGCAATTTATAAATATAAGGCTCTAGATCAGGGAGAACCAATGCAGGAAGACGAGTGTTGAAGATTCACATCATAGGATAAGTCTGGTCTGGTTCAAAGGTAACTTGTGGTGTATGCAAACCAAGGTTAAGTGATGCCTCAAGTAATTGTAAAATATCAAGAGGCATCAAAGGGGGGAATGTGGTGGAATCTCGGTAAAAATAAATTTAGTAGGCCGAGATTACCACGTGGCATGTGTACGTGCATATGCTGACGTATCGATCAGTTGGTTGCACGAGGCAAGATACGATCAGTAGTGTACGGAGCATGTGCAAGAATACAGGATGTAGTATTCCCCTCCTCCATTGTGCTGGACAAGCCATGCGGTCAAGCAGGAAGTTAATTCTTATTTGTAATGATTGGTCAAGAGAATGTGCGGGTGGAGCTTAATATGGGAGGAGTTATGTGCCTATATAGGGAGCCTGCACTATTGTTCAGGGCTCAGAACTTGCTGTATTTTTGGTGACATTAGTCCCTCTGAGTCCCGATCGGTGATCCAATAAAGAATCTCTTCCTTCCTGAAGAAACCTGTGTCCATCCCTCTGTGCTTTGCTTCCGTCAGTTTCTCCGGTATCAGAGCGGCAGCGGAGGAAGAAGCAACGACGTGGGACATCGTCGCTGCCTCTGGTAAGTTACTGAAGGAGTTTTCACCCCTTCAGCAACCGGGGATGGGGGTGGGAGGGAGAGGGGACCTGCAGTGCCAGGAAAAAGGATTGTTTTTCTGGCACTGGAGTTTCCCTTTAACCCCTTAAGGACCAAACTTCTGGAATAAAAGGGAATCGTGACATATCACACATGTCATGTGTCCTTAAGGGGTTAAACTGTTTGACAAAATGATTTAACACTGAATGGCAAGACAGATTCTTAGGACTCCAAGTCAGAGGTGTAACTACCACGGTTGCAGTTGTGACCAGGCCCATCACTCCAGGGGGTCTGGTCGCACCTGTGACCCCTGCGACCGTGGCTCATCATCACATCAGGGCCAGTGTGGCTGTGCACATGGTCTCAGAGTGACAGGCAAGAGGGGAGCGCAGAGCACAGCGGTCCCCTCCTGCCAGTCACAGCAAGTAGCATGGCCAAGCGGACCGTGGGTAGAAGGGCCTACGTTTTCCTCTGCCCGGTCTAGCAAGAAGTTCTCACTGAGAGCACTTCCAGACAGATCAGGTACCAAGGTCTGCTCAACCACGCTACATGGACAGCGGAGAGCAGGTACAAAGAGGGATGGGGGAGGGACATATAGAAGGACTGGGGATTGACACATGGAGGGACTGGGTGTGAATTAAGACACATGGAAGGGACTGGGGTGTAATTGAGACACACGGAAGGGACTGTAGGAGAATTGAAACACATGGAAGGGATTAGGGTGTGGGGGGGAATTGAGACATAACTTGGGACAGGAGGGAAATTGATACATGGAAGGTACTGGGTGGGATTGAGACACATGGAGGAACTGGGGGGGGGGATGAGACACATGGAAGGACGGGGGGTGAGACACATGGAAGGACAAGGGGATAATTGAGACACAAGGAAGCGATTGGGGGAAAACTGACACATGGTAGGGGGGAATGAGACACATGGGGGTTTGGGTGGAGATGAGACACGTGGGGGGCCCAGGGAAATCTTTGCACCGGGGCCCATTAGTTTTTAGTTACACATGTGCTCCAAACACTATAGCCAATATAATGAGACAAAATGGTTATAGTGCCTACAGTGACTCTTTAATAATTGGAATAACCTGGGAGATAGCCACTGGAGGTATACTTAAAGGGACACTCCAGGCACCCAGACCACTTCTGCCCATTGGAGTGGTCTGGGTGCCAACTCCCACTACCCTTAACCCCTTAAGGACACATGACATGTGTGACGTGTCATGATTCCCTTTTATTCCAGAAGCTTGGTCCTTAAGGGGTTAAAGGAACACTATAGTCACCTAAATTACTTTCACTGCTCAATTCACTGTCATTTAGTAGTTAAATCACTTTGTTTCTGTTTATGCAGCCCTAGCCACACCTCCCCTGGCTATGATTGACAGAGCCTGCATGGAAAAAAAAAACTGGTTTCACTTTCAAACAGATGTAATTTACCTTAAATAATTGTATCTCATTCTCTAAATTGAAATTTAATCACATACAGGAGGCTTGCAATAAAGAAAGCCTAAATAGGGCTCTCTTTACAGGAAGTGTTTATGGAAGACTGTGCAAGTCACATGCAGGGAAGTGTGACTAGGGTTCATAAATAAAGGGATTTAACTCCTAAATGGCAGAGGATTGAGCAGTGAGGCTGCAGGGTCATGTTCTATACACCAAAACTGCTTCATTAAGCTAAAGTTGTTCCCTTTAACCCTGTAAATATTGCGGTTTTCATAAACTGCGATATTTACATGGCAGGGTTAACTCCTCCTCTACTAGAGGGCACTTCCTGGCTTATAGCACAGATTTTCTGTACTCCAGCATGGGGAGGTCTAATACGTGTGCGTGGCATTGCTGCGCATGCGCATTAGGTCTCCCCCCTGGATGACGGCGGGGGAGGATCCTGAACCAGTGCCGAGGGACATCGGCGCTGGATACAGGTCAGTCATATGAAGGGGTTTTAGCCCTTTAAGCAACTTTGGATGGGGGGAGGGAAGGAGCGGGGACCTGCAGTGCCAGGAAAAGATTTGTTTTCCTGGCACTGGAGAGTCCCTTTAATGTTTCAATGTAAACATTGCAGTTTCTCTGGATCTGCAATGTTTTACATTGCAGCAATAAGTTCAAAAGGGACACAGCACCCAGACCACTTCAATTAGCTGAAGTGGTCTGGGTGCCTATAGTGTCCAGGCACCATAACAACTTAATTTAGATGCAGTTCTTATGGTGCCTTAATGTGACCAAACTGTCCCTTTAATGGTTCATATTCCTTATTGTGCATCATGATCATAACCAGAGTAACTGCATTTGGATGAACTACAAACTATAACAGCTATCCTCACTGGCACTATTTCCTGAATTGCTGTAAACAAAGTCTTGGAGGAACTTTGGGATGGAGCTCACTTTGTGGCAAGCGCTTGTCGTACTGCACAGGTCTCAGTCTCGAGTTTGCAGCAGTGCCGGAAAGCGCTCGTATGAGGAAACACGTGTGCAGCTGACCATTTCCCTGTAATCATGTCTGTGTACCAGGTAGCTGCGAAGATCCTGGATAAACTGCAGCGAAAGGAGGGGGCATTGAAGACACTGGTATATGACAGCAAGTACAAGGTTTGTATTTAATGTCCTATAATCTGCTCCTGTACACACTGGACACATCTCTCACTTGTAGATTTATTCTAAGATACATCCCCAGGCTTCCTTTGATATCAGCATGTTGTATCTGTTTGTGTTCTAAACCCTAAATATCCACAATCTGGGAACTTTACCACAATTGAATGAAAATCTGATAAATCTCATTGGGGTTTACTCATTAAACAGCAAAACAGGAGAATTTGACTTGGAGATTGTTACACTATTACCTTGATAAGTTTTATTCATAGGTAGGTTGCTTTAGCTTTTGAGCTCGGTATGTAGCATCTCCAAAGAGATTTATCAGCTCTGGGGTAATAATGTCAGTAATTTATCGGCCACTTGGAGGAGGCTTCCAGGCTGGCATAACTATTTGAGGTAGATCGACTTGGCTGTTGTATTTCATACAGGTGCAATGTGAAAACCTCAGATCTGTATTTCAGTTCTTGTAATCACCTTAAATAGTTGAAGGGATTTCTACATTGACACAAAGTATCCAACAGTGATACACAATCTGTTTATTACTGCTTCAGATAAGTTATTGTGAATGCATTTGCCAGACTGCAATGATTTCACTATAACCAAGCTCATTGATTTTTTTGATACCTCCTTGTTAAAAATCATCAGGGTTATGTAAAGAACACTCCCTGTGCAAGAGTGGTGGAATTGTGGTGTTTTTAGGGGTTTATTATTAACCCCTTAAGGACCAAACTTCTGGAATAAAAGGGAATCATGACATGTCACACATGTCATGTGTCCTTAAGGGGTTAAATGGACACTCCTCTTTTTCATTTTACAAAAAGTGCACATTTACATAGAAATTAGTACTTAACCTTGTTTACACCCCCCTAGCTGTCAATCAGACAACCGGTCCTGTTACTTCCTGGCTTGTGTAGGTCAGTGAAGCTAAACTCAAGAGTCTAGAGTTCTAGACAATTGTTCAGAAGGCCTGTATTGCAAAGACTTCGCATTGAAGCTGCATTGGGAAGTCTGTGATTGGACAACAATAGTAAGTCTAGGCTTGGGAAGACCAGGAAGGGTTGTAAAGGTTGCAGACAAGAGATCTGCAACTTTTCAAGCAGTTTTTAGATATATCTAGAATGAAAAAAAAATCATGCATGTTCTCATTTGGGTTTAGCTACTAAACAGTAACTTTCTTTCTTGTTTTGTATCTGGGTAGTGGAGTGTCCCATTTAAAGTGGCACTGTCACTCTCTTGAACAATTAGTATTTTATACAGATGGAATCTTTATGAAATATTTATTTTGACTATGATATAATTACACTGTAGGGACAACCTTGTCTCTGTATATTTCCTCTGCCTGACTTTCTTAGACTCTGGGTAGAGCTAATGTCAATCCTGACAACTGTCACCAGTGACAGCTACAGTGAATTAGCTCTGCCTATGGAGGATCACACAGTCTTGCGGGATCTTCCATAGATCTGAATGCTGTTCCACTCTTTTTTTTTTTTATTTTTTTTATTTTTTTTTTATAAATGCAAGCTAGTTTTGTTTTTGACATGACCTAGTTAAAAACCATCAGGATTATCCAAAGAGCACTCTCTGTGCAGGACTGGTAGAGGTTTGGTATTTTTTTTATAAGTTTATTATTAATTGAGGCAGCCTAGGTTAGAGATAAGAGATCACATCATGGGTTTAATTAGTATTAATATCCTTTTTACCATTTGACTATGTAATCTCAATAATCTCATCTGGATTTACCAAAGGGCTCTCTTCGCTTTATCTCCTTAATTTGAGGCTATCTTTTCAAGTTAAAGATAGTGTTTACCCTGGTAAAGGTCCCTTTAGAATAACCTTTCCATTTCTTATAGACAGTGTACAGTTTCACTGTAAATTATTAACTTGATTTTTAAGTCATCTAAATTTGCTGCTTCACAGAGTGGTCTGCAATATATTCTTTATGATAGAACGCTTTCAAAATCAATAATAACATCCTCTTTGAACAAGATTCTTTTGTGATTTATTCATTTTAAATGTCAGACGTCGCTCAGGTGGAAGGTACCCAGGTATGTGCATTTAATTGATACATTTGTTTTCTGGAACCGTGCATAGTTGTAATTCTGTCAATATTTTAGTAAACATGTATTTTGGGACAGTACAGACAAATGTAAAAGAGCAATGTGTAAGGAATACATCATAGGATCTGCTTAACATTCCTTGTGATTCTTGTTGGTATCAGAATATACGGCAGCTCTATGCCCTGCTCTGTGAGACCGTTCGCTATTCGGCAGTTTTGGAGGAGATCATCCAGAGTTCGTCATTCCTTAAGGGAGATGTGAAAATGACTCGAAATCTAGCCAAGGTAGGGGAAACAACCAGACTGTGGCAAAAGGTATTCACTAAACTAGGACTGTGGAGAACTGACAAAGGGAATGAAGATTTTAGTATTTGATGGAAAACTAACTGTGCCGGAAAAAAAATTCTAATCAGCTATTTTAATCTCAAACTTGCAAATGTTTCTGAAGTAGGAAATAAGCCTTTGTTTTTTTCCGGTTTTAACACAATGTGTGAAGAATGTAGATTATGATACCATAAACTACCCTATTGCCAGCAATAAACACAGATAATAAATACTATGAGGAATTGGCACTATAAATTTTGGTGACTTTTTTTATTTTTTCCATTATAAAAAAAAAAGACCATTAAATGACATGGTTTGAACTATTTTTCACTTTAGTGTTTTTTTTAATGGCATTAATGACCCCAAAGGTACACTCAAAGTACCATAGTTGCACAGTAAACTGTAGTGATTATAGTATCAAGTGCAGTGGTGTCCTCCCAAGGTAGGTGGTCAAACTGTTTGCAAATAGCTGGAAGATGCCGGTCACCTCCTATGGGTACATGGTGTGTTCCTTCAACACATGTTTTTCTACATCACCAGAAAACAAAATTGCCGATCTGGAATTGCTGTTGCAATTCATGGTTTAGTGAGTTATTCTGTTTTTGTGTGCACATTGCAGTTTGAAAGAGGGTTGTGTAAGGATTTTTTTTTCTTTGTTACATACTCAGATTTTTGTCTTGATCTATTATGATGACTGAGCAGTAGGGTGACCAGTACATATATTTGCCTCCAGTAGTAGAGACAGTAAGCAAGAAATAGTTCTAGATAAATTCCTTTAATGTGCTCTTTGGTGTAAGGAAGAAGCAGTGTTTTTGAAAGTAAATCCATTTCATTCTTCTTTAGGTGGTTGTTTATGATTTGCTGTTTGGGAAAGGTGTGCAGTGTGGAGGTCGTTTAAAAGCAGTGGTCATTGCGCACCGAACGCGGCTTCGGGCTGAACTTGCTCGAATGAAGGTGAAGAAGAATGTTAGCAGCAATAAGGACTTGGTGACCTCTTTGGGTGGTCCATCTGCAGGTTAGTGGAATTCCCTAATTGCGATAGTATTGGAACTGTTGGTGTTTGATAACCATCTGATCTCTCTCATTACAGGCTCTGCCATGCCACGGTATGTCCGTGTCAACACACTTAAGACTTCCACTAATGAGATCATTACTTACTTTAAGCGTCAAGACTACACATACTTGGGCAAAGCACGCAGGTGAATCATTTTTTTTTTTTTTTTTTTTTTTTAAATCGGAGCAGAAGACTTCATTCTCAAATTCTCCATGCACAAACCGTATTATTCACCAAAATGTTAATTGTCAGAAATTCAAAAGTTATTTTAAAATGTAGGCTAAAAGGACCAAACTGAAAACATGGCTTAGAAATGTTTCTAATGTAGCTGTTTTGTGCTAATTCTATAAATCGATAAATTCTGACTTTATTGGCTGACTGACAAAGTTATTCCCTAACACCGTAGTGGAGAAAATTAGATTTGAGGTTCTGGGGCAAAAAGTGTGTTTTTAAACCTTGATGTGTTTCAATCCTCACTCTCCTGAGAGCCACATTATGTGACTGTCGTTCAACACACTTGACATCCTCCTCTTTTTTTTTTCTAATTTATTTGTAGAGATCTGTCTCATGTCAACTAACCTTGTTACAACGGTTCTGACTGATACCTAATAAAACACAATAAGAGACTTGTTCAAGGAATCAGTTATCTCTAAGACTGTCCTGCAGTGCAGTAAAATAATATACACCATAACCACTGCAGCTTGGTGTAGTGATTCCAGGAGTCCCTGGTGCTGCACGTTGGTAAACTCTCAGACTGTTTTCAAACTGTTTGACGCCTGGCTTTGTTGAGCCCTGCACTGCTTCCATTCTGAGCTGATATGCTAATGTGGGCGCAGGTTTGGGCTTTATTCATTGGCGGAGTGTGTCAGCTGACCGCTCTTAATTGTCTATGTCCAAAGTTGGTATGACAGTGCGAACGTATTGGCCAAGACAGTCTTCCGACACAGCAAGGTAAGTGCAAACTGTTTTGTGAACAGTGTGGCAGTTTACCATTAGATGGCGCTAGGGGACTTATTGCAGGACAACCAATACTGCACACTGTAGGGATTATAATGCTAAGAGTAGCTCTTTAACAGTTTGTGTTGGGTGCTTTCAGAGTTCTTTTACGATAGGAATATTGAAATAAGATTTAAAAATGAGATCTTTCGTGAAATGCTGATCTAAAGAACACAATTGTACTAACATGGACTTCTCCATCATGTAGGATTGAGGAACTATCAGAGCTTGGACAGAAGAAAGGGAAGAAGTTCCTGCAGGATCTTCATGTTCCAGATCTATTGGCGTTCCCTCCAGACACAGATTTCCACAAAGATGCCTTATACCTAGCAGGGCACCTTATACTGCAGGACAAGGTAAGATTTCCAGCTCATAGATCGGGCCCCAATCAGGAAATGCCAGAAACAAAAAAAAAAAACAGCCTCACAGTCAATAAGATTAAATATCTTTATTTCATCATATCAAACGTAAGACAGGCTGAAGACCGCACAGGGAACCACGAAGTAGGGAAACTGGAACCACTGTCTAAAACATTTGATACTGTTAGCACGTAGACCTGGCTTTTCCTGACTGGGGCCCAATGTCTGACCTATTGGACACACATACCTTCTAGCTCCCTAGGCCCTACCATACTGCTAATAGTTATTGTCCAAGAAATCCCATCATGCAGTGTCATTTACCCTAGGCAAGCTGCCTCCCTGCCTTGCTGCTGTCTCCTCCTGTGGGATCCTTTGTCATTGATGCATGTGCTGCACCCGGGAACAAGACAAGCCACATAGCTGCCATTTTGCAGAACAAGGGGTACGTAGAACAAATCAAAGGAGCTATATCAAGGCCAGATTGATGCATTGAATAGAACTTTTTTGTTTACAGCAGTATGGAGATTAAATGTAATGTTAACCAATCATAAGTCAGGATCCTGTTTATTCATCGATGGAGGAATCATAGCCAATACATTACACCTGATTGCTTACAATGATAAGTGCCCTACTTGCTTATTTAATAAAGTAAGAATTCAAAGTGAATTTAACCTTTAAAGCCAAAAAAGCCAAACTGGAAAAAAAAAAATCTCTTAAGTCAGCGATGCTTTCAGTTCTGCTATTCTGAATTCACTTTAAATTCTCACTTTAGTGAATGACAATGTTAGTGTTTCTTTGTGTCATTGTCTGTGCGTCCTATAACCATCCTTTGGCTGTTCTTCATAATGTCCAGATTGTGTGTGTGTGTTTTGGTTTTCAGGGAGCGTCCAGGTAACCTTTATTTGCAGTCTTAGAATTAAGTGGATGGTCTGTTTGACAAAACTTGTCTACGGTCTTCACCAAATGTGAAATTATGGAACAAATCGTAGACATTCTATTGCTGTGCAATGGGAAGCTGTGCCTAGTCAGGTCTCACACTTTCCATTAGCTGTTGTTGACTAGAAATGTACCCCAGGTGAGTGTGCTATACACCCTCCATGGTTGCAGTGGAGAAATTACTTTTAAGGCCTGGGTAGTATTACAGGTCTTGAATTTTAACTCCTGGTTGTACTACAACAACTATATTCTGTCTGTTGTATATCCTTACTTTGTTTCATGTCTTTACACTTACCTCTGTAATGTTCAGTTGTATTAATAAAGCTTTATAAACAAATCTTCAGGTCAGGCTTGCATCGTATTCCGTTCTTGCACAGCAGTTGAAGAAGGGAATCTGAAATCACTTTAGTAGGAGGACAGTTCCTACAGGGAAATTGTTATATTATTGTTTTGCTACATGCCTTTTATGCTTCTAGGAGAGTTTTTGCATTTGACCTGGATACCAAGCGTGTATCCACTATGAGCACGCTGCTGTTACGAGCTGGAGTCACATGTCAGGAGTTAGCGAATCAAGACTTCCTTACCGTCAGACTAGACGATCCTAAATATCAGAAAGTGAGCCACATCCTGGTGGATCCTTCATGTAGCGGTTCAGGTAAATAAGATTAACAGAATTTGGCAATGGGCGGTGAAACAGCCTTCTGACTGTATGGTATATCTAACCAGGTAGTAGCGTGCTGCACACTATCGTGATGCAACGGAGCTCTGTGGGGGAGGTCTGCTAGCCCCTAATGTAATCCAAGAAGTATAGAGGCAATAATCGGGTATACCATGTGTCTCGTTCCCTTAGCCTGCCACCCCTCCCAATGTGTCCCATTCACTTAGCTCCTCCCATGTGTCTCATTCCCTTAGCTTGCCACCCCTCCCAATGTGTCCCATTCACTAAGCTCCTCCCATGTGTCTCATTCCCTTAGCTTGCCACCCCTCCCAATGTGTCTCATTCCCTTAGCCCCCCACCCCGTGTCTCCTACCCTTAGCTTCCCTATGTGTCTCATTCAGGTTTTTCATTCCCTCCCTCAAACCCCCCCATTATGTCTCATTTCCCTAGCACGCCCCTTTGTGTCTCACCTCCCCTGTGTACCGTGGCTAAACTGTGGACTGTGCTAGAAGATCTTGTTTCCCTCCAGCCAGTCTGACAGGAAGCAGTTTGGCACTCTCAGTAGGTGCACCTCCTGTCAGACAGTGTAGAGGGAAAAAAGCTCCTCTACCGCGGTCTGCGGCTCGGACACACTACAAGTAACGACAGGCAGGAGGGGATCGCTGTGCAGTGCGTTCAGTTGGATCCTGCACCCTAAGGAAGCCACCTGTTCCGCCTTATGGTAGCACCAGCCCTGAAAAGTTTTGCGAGCCACATTGGACTGTCTAAAGAACCACATGCGGCTCACGAGCAGTAGTTTGACCATGTCTGTGGTAGACTGATAATTGCTATCAGCCTAGGTCACAGATTACCGCTGCCGTGCAGCAATAAAGCCCTATTATTTTATCCCAGTGTGATTTTATGCCGTCTGCTCCCATACTGCTTCAGTATTATGACAGGTGTCCTGGTTGGACCACATACTTAATATACATGGTAGAAGAGAATAATCGGATAAATGCACTGCGAGAGGAAGATAAGCGTTCTGCAATTATGGTATTGCAGGCTTTAGCACTTACAGCCAGCTTGAGTATTATGGAATAGTTAATGATATGCTGTATATTTATACATAAATATCTTCTGCCATTATGCATCTTACAGCACTTTTGGCCATTATTCTTCACTTTTTTCTTTTTTGTGATAAGTGTTATCTCATCGCCAGGAATGCCCGATCTAATGAGAGTTCACACAGATGCATCATCAGGCCCAGAGCAGGAGAAACGTCTGCAGGCACTGTCAGGATTCCAATGTCGTGCTGTGTCCCATGCACTGAGTTTCCCGTCCGTACAACGTGTTGTATACTCCACCTGCTCCATTCACCAGCAGGAGAATGAAGATGTGGTGATGAAATCTCTGGAGCAAAACCCAGATTTTAGGTTAGTAGTTACTCTAGGAAATAGCCCTTACCATAATAGGAACCTACCTATTTATCAAAAAATGTTCCAGAAAAAAATACTGAAACCACTCTGAGCACCATAATGTGAGATCTTACAAGTGGCCAATTTTTGGAGGAACGTGCTGTAAAACATTCAGATTTACATTGCTGTGGCCAATGTGATCTTAAATAATCAATATAATAATAGTATTTTTATACTGAATGCTTACTGCACCAAAAATGTTTATCAATACACCTATAGTACTAACTCCAAAAAGTAGTCAAACTGACTGTGATATAACAAATGAGCCATTAAAATATCATGATATTAAAAATGATTGGGAAATAGTTAAAGGACCACTCTAGGCACCCAGACCACTTCAGCTTAATGAAGTGGTCTGGGTGCCAGGTCCTTCTAGGGTTAACCCATTTTTTCATAATTATAGCAGTTTCAGAGAAACTGCTATAATTATGAATGGGTTAAGCCTTCCCCCTAATCCTCTAGTGGCTGTCTCATTGACAGCCACTAGAGGCGCTTGCGTGCTTCTCACTGTGATTTTCACAGTGAGGCACGCAAGCGTCAATAAAGCATTGTAAATGCTTTCGTATGAGACCGCTGAATGCGCGCGCCGCTTGCCGCGCGTGCGCATTCAGCCGGCGGAGGGGGCAGAGAGCTCTCCGCCCAGCGCTGGAAAAAGGTAAGTTATTACCCCTTTTCCCCTTCCAGAGCCGGGCGGGAGGGGGTCCCTGAGGGTGGGGGCACCCTCAGGGCACTATAGTGCCAGGAAAACTAGTGTTTTCCTGGCACTATAGTGGTCCTTTAAAGGAACGTTGCATTGAATTATGTATTGACATTACTTTTAAAGTGTACATTAAGTAGCAGATGTATGGATTTTTAAGAAGTCTAAATATAAATACAGTGCATTTCTTCTGTCAGTCTGTTCTGTGCAAACATGGCTATGCAACTGGCTAAATGTGCCATATGATTATCTGCTGTCATAATTGAGGATCATGTCATAACATGCTTATCTTGCAGGTTGGTAAATGCTTTACCATCATGGCCATTACGAGGACTCAATACCTTCCCAGAGTCAAGTTACTGTCTTCGAGCTTCGCTTTCAGACACTTTTACCAATGGGTTTTTCATTGCAGTCTTTGAGCGCAAAAGCAATCAAAATGAAAGGTATAAAGAAAATTTTATTTTTTCATTAAACCCTGTGCATACATGTTATACATATTTTTAATGAGCTCCACTTTTCCCTTTGCTCTAAAGTCAGTCTTTGATAGAGGGGCAAAAAAAAACCCCCCAAAAAACAAACCCTACATTTAAAGGAACACTGTAGTCACCAGAACAGGTCCAGCTTTTTGTATTTGTGCTGACGCGTATAATCATTCCCTTAAGACCTTTAGCAGTAAACACAGTCTTTTCAGAGCAAATGCAGTGTTTACATTACAGCCTAGTGATACCTCCACTGGCCACTCTTCAGATGGCTGCTAGAGGTGCCTCCTGGGGCAATGCTGCACAGTGTCTCCACCCTCTGCATGGAGACACTGAACTTTCCCCATAGAGATGCATTGAATTAATGCATTTATATGAGCAGATACAGATTGGCCAGGGCTGTTTGACTTGTGCTAGCTTTGACCCCGAGGCAGTCCTTGGCAAGATCAGCCAATTCAATGCTTTCCATTGGGAAAGCAATGTGATTGGCCAGATCACCACTTCTGCTGATGTCAGTCAAGAAGGCAGACTAAAATAAAGGTAAGATTACTATATTTCCTAATGTGTATTATACCCCACCTTCTATAGACTGTAAGCTCGTCTGAGCAGGGTCCCCTTCAACCTATTGTTCCTGTAAGTTTTCTTGTAACTGTCCTGTTTATAGTTAAATCCCCCCTCTCATAATATTGTAAAGTGTTAAGGAATCTGTTGGCGCTATATAAATGGCAATAATAATATTTAGGTGGGCAAGTGAATTGGGGGGGGTGCAGATAGTGATTTTAACACTATAGGGTCAGGAATAAGTTTGTGTTCCTGACCCTATAGTGTTCCTTTAAGCTTCATTCAGGCCTTTTGTGTCATGCAGCCGAAGTATATTTGATATTTTTAAAATGAAAAACTGTCAGCAGGTACAAAACCATAATGACTATATAACAATTGTCTTTCTGTGCTGGTATTTCAAACCTCTTTTGAAGCATTGCAAAGAACACTAACTTTTGTCTTTAAATTCAAAGAAATCTTTTGTGATAAAGTTTTTGTTTGGAATAACTGAACAGGAATTTTTTCAAATAAAGGTTATTCTTAAATTAAGAACCATTTTATAGTAAATTGTTTGAATACTTTGGCAACTAGTCATTTTTTTTTATTATAAGAAACTTGTGCATGAATTGCAAATGAAAATTGTACATGCTATGGGTGATAATGAGCATTTTTTATTTCAGTTCTACTCAGACTACAGTGGAGAAAAACTGCCATAGTGCTGCCCAGACAAAAGATGACTTAAAAGTGTCACAGGCCGGGGATGAAAGGCAAAACGGTCCAGTCGTTGTAGACTCTGGAAACTGTATAAAAAAGAAAACTCGCAAGAGGAAAAAGAAACGCAAGACAGAATTGCAGTAAATAAAAATCTGACCTATTTAACGTTCCCGTGTGGATTTTTGTGATTGGTTGGTGGGAGGGGAGAGAGAGATTAAGCACTAGCTATAAATATAATGTCCAGGACAAATCTTAATTTGGTGAGTGGCAGTGTAACCACATACTGCAGAACAAGTGGATGGTATGGAAGTGAGGGCCTGCTGATAATTAAATACACAGTACTGCTAATCAGCAGAGACAGCTTTCTAATTCTGTCAGGGTTACCCTTCCACAGAGTGAACCCTCCATTTCTTATCAATCCATCACATTTCTGGCTTAATTTGGGTATTTTGCATTAATTAACACTGCAATGATTTGAACAGTAAAATGTTTTTCGTGTTTAGAATAACTTTCTTTAGCAGATCAATCACAATGGCAGCTTTACAGTCCCACCTTTATATTATGTTAAGACAACTTCTTCCCAAACAGTTTTTCATGTCCTTTCTGCTGTGAGTGGGAGCAAATAACTCCTTCATTAATATTGCTATGATACAATAAAAAAAAACTAAAACCTAGCTCCATACAGCTTTTGTTAAATGAACACTATAGGGTTAGGGATACACCTTTTATATTCCTGACCATATAGTGTTCCTTTAACAAGTGTTATTATTTAGGTGACGAACACCCTTAAAAAGGTGTAAAACACACCTTTTTTCAAGCACCGCACTGGTTCCACCCCCACCTCCTTGGCTGATATAATCAGAATTGATGATCTCAGCCAAGGAGGCGGGCAGAGCCCGACTCCGCACTCTTCAATCAGAATCTCCTCAGATGCATTAAATCAATGCATTTCTGAGGAATGTTGAGCGTCTCCATGGAGACGATAAATGTCAATGCTACACTGTGCAGCACTGACCCAAGAAGCACCTCCAGTGGCCGTCTGAGTGACTACTACTGGAGGTGTCTCTAGGAAGCAATGTAAACACTGCCTTTTCTCAAAAAAAAAAAAAGCAGTGTTTATATTAAAAAGCCTGCACGGGGACGTGTCCTGGACGCAGACCGGAGCAGCCGCATGTAGTTAGAGCTCCGTACCGCGACTGCTAAATAGGAGGAATATGAAACACGCTAAAGTATACAAACAGTACCAGATACAGCCTGAAGCCACAATGTCCCAGCCCAAAAGCAACCGGGCCAGTGAGAGGGGAGAAAAAAAAAAAAAAACTTACTCGCCTCGAGAGCAGAACAAGGAAAGGCCTCAAGCCAGACCAAGCACTCACAAGATGGCGCTGGCGCTGAACCCGAAACGAAGACCGAGCCTGGAGAAAATTTAAATCCACTGACCCACAGCACCTTGAAAAAGCTTCTAGAGGAGATGTCAGACAAGATTGTGCGAAAGATGGACAGGGTTATCAAGGATTTACGCAAAGAACTGCAGGACATAGGCCAACGCACATCGCAAACAGAGTATCAACTCTCGGAAATGGCGAAGGCCCACAATTCCCTGGCAGACACTGTGGAGGGCCTGGTCACAAGACTAAACGACCAGGACCTCAAAATAGATATGGAGGACCGGGCACGCCGCAACAACCTACGTATACGGGGAATTGCGGAGGCAGTTAAAAAACGGAGGATCTCACCGCCCATGTCACGGGCCTGCTGAGAAAACTGGCTCCGGACTTGCCACAAGACTTGGTCCTGATGGATAGAATCCACAGAACCTCCAAACCAAAATTCTTACCATCAGACACACCAAGAGACATACTGCTAAGGATGCACTATTATCACGCTAAAGAAGCAATCCTAAATGCAAGCAGAAAACGGAAACAGATGCCTACGGCCTACAGAGGGACGCCTATATATGCGGACATCTCCTCATACACCTTAGAGACGACAAGACTTCCGAGATATAACTACCCAGCTCAGGGACAACCACCTCCCATATAGATGGGGCTACCCCACCAAGCTCCTAGTGATGAGAGAAGGGAAAACCACCATCATTGGATCCCCAGAGGACAGCCAGCGTATATTGAGAGATTGGAGCAGCCATGACACCGACGGAACAAGAGGGGAGCAGAGCCAAGTTCTCACCGGACTGGAAGAAGGTGAAAAGGAGTTAAAAGGCAGAGACTTTGAGTGTGGATGCTCTATGGCACCTAAATGCACAAGACTACCAACTGCGGGGCAGGGTAACGTACTGAATTACACCACACTCACAGAGTAACCTAAGTGCTCCAGACTGAGCACGTGGACCGGTGGGGCACTACACATTATAGCATAGAGGGATCAAGGGGTTCGCAGACCCCAGACTACTACTCCCCACTCAGACTAAAAAGCTGAGCCACACAAGCCTAGCACACCCGCCCGAATAAAAGAACAGCCAGGGAGACACCCACACAACCTCCTTGCATCAAGACCTGGAATAGAAACAGAAAAGACAAAAAACAAATAAATATATAATAAATACACTAAGCAGAAAAAAGAAAAGAGAAAAATAACCAATAGCCCACCATATTATTCAAGGCTTTAGCCTACAGTTGGGCCCTCCCAACGCAAACACCAGAAATAGCCGCAGAGGGAGACAGCTCCCATAGGACATGAGGCCATTAGCCTCTTCCCCCAAGGCACGACAATGCAGTGCCAAGCCGACTCAACGGCACTAATCGTTCTTAATGTTTATGTAAATACTTTATTTTATGTTATTGTATTATTGAATGTTGTTTTATGCAAAGTTTACACTCCACATGTTTTGCATTTTGTTAACAAACATGGGATAGGGTTAGTGGGTAACCCAGTACCAACCACCGCGCAAATAATGACAAGGCCTGAAAGTTGCCAGGCCATTGCCACTGCCTGTTCCGCAAGCCCAACAGGGAAACTACCTAACACACAGAGGGATACACTGCTCGGCTCGACCAATCTGGGGAGAGCGGTGACCCTCCAAACCATAGACTACCACAAGAGATGTAAGGAGTACCAACCCCACAAGCCACCATGAAATTGTGTTCTCAACGCACCCGTGAAAAGACATCTGCTCACCAGGGAGGTCAGAGCTCTGGGAGCAGACATACTATGCCTCCAAAACACATTTTAGACACAAAGACCACCCAGCAATACTGACCAACGCCTTTCCACATCAATTCCACGCCCATCCTAATAAACAAAGATGTCTCGTTCACACTCCACTCCACAGACATAGACCCGAATGGTCGGTACATCATACTCATAGGGATGTTTAACGACATGCTATACACCATCGTAAACATATGCTCCCCAAATACAAAGGAACTTCTTGCACAAAACCCTAACCAAAATAAATAACATCCAAACAGGCATCACAGTGATAGGGGGGAGACTACAATCACATAACAGACCCGCAGCTAGACACGACCCTACCACCACAAGGAAAACATCATCACCCCCAATGCAGAGCTATAGCGAAACTTGGAGGGCCACACACCTGACAGGGCGTATACACACTACTCAGCGGTACATAATTCCTACTCTAAAATAGACGGATTCTTTCTATTAGGCTCAGCGCTAGACCAACTCATCCACAGCGACATACAGCAAATCACATGGTCTGACCACGCACCCGTAACCATAGAACCAAAGAATAACTATGACTTTAAACATCGCAGCCCTTGGAAAATCAACAACTTGTTGAGGGATGTGAAATTTGTAGAAATCCCAGACAGGGGACCTTCAAATGTACTTTAAACTAAATGACACAAAAGACACCACAGACGCAACTCTGTGGCTCGCCCACAAAACAGTAGCGCGAAGCCTACTAATACGCAGGGCAGCATATGTCAAAAAGACCCGCCAAACTCAACTTAGGGCATGGCAGGTAGAACTGTACGAGATGAATAGACTCAGTCAAAACACCCCATCTGCAGAGACGAAAGCCAGATAGCCCAGATTACAAAATTTATACACCAGCAGGCGCTAGCCGCACTTAACTCAAGCATGCAGAAGCTCAAAATAACCTCGCCACGTGTTCTTGGAGGGGGCTGCTTGCCCGCCTTCTACCTTCTGACTATGGCCTTGGGATATATGACATTTGAAAACACTATTTGTGCCCTGTGACAAAACTGGAGATTGTGCACAAATATGACTATTGACAGAACCTCCTTGAGATAGAGAGAGTTTTATGGACTCCAGGCTGACCTGCTGTCAGATTATCATGGAATAAACCAAGTACCTTTTTTCTTAATGGTGGTGAAACGTACAGTTTATCCGGAGGTCTCTCCACGGGTGCCTGAGTTTGATCTGCTATTATAGCACAGAAGAGTGGAGAAGACTCTTCAGAAACAGTAGTAGCAATAAGGCATTCTGGAGGTATGATAGGGAATACCTCTTGTTCAGGAATCTCATCTGTCTCAAACTGTCTAGACAATGCATCTGCCTTGGTGTTCTTGGTCCCGGGCCTATAGGTAATTACAAAGTTGAGTCGGGAGAGGAACAATAACCATCTAGCCTGACGAGAGGACAATCTCTTAGTGTCCCCAATATAAGCCAAATTCTTGTGATCGGTAAAAATCAGAAGTGGCTCTTTGGAACCTTCTAAGACAGGGGTTCTCAACCCAGTCCTCAGGACCCCCTACCAGTCCAGGATTTGGGGATTACCTGGGTGTGTCTCAGGTGTTTAGAAAAAGGGAAAAAAACACCTTAGACTCTAAGGTGTTTTTTTCCCTTTTTCTAAACACCTTAGACACACCCAGGTAATCCCTAAACCCTGGACTGGTAGGGGGTCCTGAGGACTAACGTTGAGAACCCCTGTTCTAAGAGATGCCTCCATTCTTTGAGGGAAAGTATAATAGCCAATAATTCCCTATTCCCAGTGTCATAATTTCTCTCTGCAGCGATGTAAAGGCATATCAGGACTTTCTCTTTGAGACAGAATGGCTCCTACTCCTGTTTCTGACACATCTACTTCTAGAATAAATGGTTTCGTTGGATCGGGGTGTGTCAGGACAGGTGCTGAGGCAAATAAAGATTTTAATTGCTCAAATACCTCCTTTGCTTCCTTGGGCCATGAATTGCAATTTGCTCCTTTGTTGGT